CGAAGTGGGTTAGCGTACACGTTAAGAGAGGCATAGTAGATGAGTGCACAAAGATTCTAAGTGAATTTATTCATCTTTTTATCGTTCATAGCGGAATTGTAATTACTCGTCTACAACGAAGTCCAGCTCCTGATTAGAGCTGATTGCTAAGGTATATCTAAACCGTGAAACATCATAAAGAGGAGGGAGGGGGAGGTGATTTTTTTTGGCTTTCACCGGATTGATTTCGTTGTAGTCTCCGTTTCAGTAAAGGCAGCACTTTTGAGACACAGTGAAGTAACAACTCAGAAGCTAATTCACGTTTATCTGTACCTGTGAGTACGTTTCGCGGGTTATTCGTGCGTTAAAACGCTGGGAACGTTTCGCGTCGGTCGTTCGCAGAACATTGCTTTGCCTTTGCAGCAAAGCTGTGACTTTTTCTGTTCTGTATAGATATTGGATACAAAACATGGTCCCTACGTTAGATAATCAATTCTTGGCTGATCCCCCTGAGTGGGTACGAGCCAAGTCTGTTGAATCATCATCGTCATCATCGGCTGCTGCAGGTTCTACGTGCCAGCTGGTGCGGTTGTCGTTTCCGTACCTTGCTCCGTTTCGGTAGGTTCAGCATGATGATTTTTCTTCTTTTCTAGTATTTGCAGCGCATTATTCCATTTAAAGCTGAGCCCGCTTCTTTTTCTTGATTGACTTTTTATGAGAGCGCACTGATGTCGAGCAATTCTCGTGGTGAAGATCACTCCACGTTAACGCCTCTCTGCGCCATGATGACATTACCCATGACGTGTTTCTCCGCAGTGGTATGGGCAGAGTTACCGTCACGCTGGTACCATTGGGTGGTCCCTTATTAGGTTGAATCACCCCTTGGCCAATGAAGAACATCTTCATGCAGTTGTCCCCAAGCTGCCGGAGCATAACTGACACTCGGCAGTTTAATCGCGGTGGGATGGTATGCAGATTGCCAGACCAGGTCTGTGTAAGAGACCTAAAAGTTTCATCTTTTGCATCCATTCCGGTGTGTGCGTTTTTTCCACCTGATCTGGTTTGCTCTAAAGGCACCGTATACGAATAATAGACGCGCAACTGAGCCCTGCCTAATCCTTAGTAAAGCTTTCTGGGGCAGGCGTGGAAGCTGTTTATCGATGCACTTAAGTTGTGGACAACAAGAGCGTCCCGACACTGTCAGTGATTGAGACTTTTGCTGGTACTTCATGTCCTGTATAGATTACCGCGTGACCTACAGTTCTTCGAGCTGTTAGCTAACATCTAAGTTATTACAATGCCGGATATACGGGCAATTTTGGCATAGTGCTGGAGGTTACAATTAGACATGCGCTGCAGCGGACGTGGGGGAGATGACGCTAATAGAGATTGTATGGCCTAAGACGACCTGTGTTGTTTGTGTGGTGGATGACATGCAGTGACTACACAGAATGTACGATTCAGCCACAAGAAATTCAAGTTCTTGAAGATACTGACTAAAGGAGATGCTCTCGGCGGCAGGCTATTGCATTTGTCACGGAAAGAGCGCATGGCTAGGTTGGCATCCCAGCAAATAAGATGTTCCTTGAGACTTCGATTGCATGGCAGTGAAGGTAGCTGTAGGAAAAGATACGACTTGAGTGGTACAATCACTGCCTTCGAAATTGGAAAGACTACCAGATTTACGCTGGAGCTTTTAAACAAGCAGTTCCGCACGGAAAAGAAAATCATTGCTTTCGGGCTTTCGATTATATACCAAAATCAAACAATAAAGTTGTACTCATATATATCTTCCTGAAAGGAAATAATGCAACTAGCTGTGAAAGTAGTAATTATTATTTAGTCTTCAGAGGAAACAAATTATTTGTTAGATATTATTAGTAGGAAGTTAGAGCAGTGCTTTACCTTCCAGTTATCATCACCTCCAAAGCATTGCCAATGAGACGACGACTTCATATAAATTTACTGGTGGGAATTAAAAGAGTAGCTAGCATTTCATCAGCGGCTCCGGCTCTTGATGCGTTGGCCATATTTAAATATATAAATAAGGAATCTCAAAATAATTTATTAGATTTTATCAACAACCCAATAGGAAGGGCATGACTTTCTCCTTCTTGAAAAGTTGCTAAGGTGATACCACTGCCTTCAAATTCGGATAAAGGGTATGAATTGAACAAAATTAGGACCATTGCGCTAACTTCCAATTTATTGAGCCTGAATAAAATAACTTTAAATGTTTGTCACATAAGTTTGATTAACAGGAAATGAATTCCAAATCCGCTCAATTTGACAGATCAAGCTGATCTACATGACAGGCACTTATAGACCTTTAGAATAGCATACAATTAGATAACCGGCAGAGAAAGTATGCCGCATTAGTCATCCTGGACATCGCGAAAGCGTGTGACAGCGTTGAGCATGTAGCTTTGGTAATTAAGCTGAATGCATAAGTTTCCCAAAGTAGATTTAGCCATAGATTGTTGAATATTAGTGAAATAGAGTGTTTTATATTTCCCAAAGCTGCATTTGTTCGTCTACGGAAATACAAACAACAGACGTTCCGCAAGGCACAGTCCTTCTCTCTAGTTTTTTAATGTACTAATGTGTTCTATGCAACGACATCAAGATGTATACAAATGTTTATGCGGATGAAAAAAAAAAGACCGCAGCGATGGCTACACGATTACCGCGTTGGTTGCTACAGCGCCCGCTTCCGATGTGAGAGGGGCCGGGTTCTATTCTCAGGGCCGACCGGCAACACACCGATTCGTGCCAATGGGTAGAGTAGTACACCGACCTAAAAATTGGTGTTTTCTGGGTACTCATCTCAAGAGATAGCCCTATAGGTTTCTGCAGGGTTCCCTAGGCGTTCCTTCACACACCACAGCTTTGGTGAAATGTTAAAGGATTCGCCACTTCTGTGGGAGGCAGAGAATTGCGGCTGCCAGATACCTACGGGTTAGATAGGTACAAGCGCACTTCCTGCCCGATGTTCAGCAGAACGAAGTTGATAGTTGCTTGTGAGGGCACACATGCGTGGGAAATTGGCGGCATGGAACCACGACACCTAAAAATTAACGTCATTCTGTTTTTTCTTGCGGTTTTTTGGACGACAATATTGACTGTACTACAGTACTACAGTACTTTTGACCAAGTACTACAGTCATACTTATTAGCATTGTAAGGCTGAATCTATGACATTAACCTGCATATAAATGTCGGAAAATTGTCAGCCATTCTATTTTGTTTGAAGAAACCATTCATATTTTGATTTATCACCAAGAGCATATTCCTAAAGTAAAACAGGTATATAACCTTCGTGGGAATAATATACGACAGTTATATGTCTTGGAAGGCTCACATAGAATTCTTAGCATAAAATGGTGTTAAGGTCGTTAGCATGTTACGCAAGATTAGTCATAGTCTATTTCGTATGCAAAGACAAACGCTTTTGTCAGTATATTGCATGTTTCGTTCAGCCGGTTCTTCACTTTGGATGCATATTATACGCTGGGGCTCCTGCTTGTAGGTGATGTCACTCTTTTGCAATGCTCGAAAGGCAAGCCTTGTGGCTATATTCAGGTTTTCCTATGTTCGTATAGCCATTAAAATCTTGTTCCTGGAAGCTAGGCTTCCATCACTTCGTGTTTGCAAATAATGGCAGTATACAACTGTTTTTAAAGCTTTTTGAATTCTCAGAAAGACGTTCCAAATTAGTTTTTATCTCCCAGCCCGAGTTGTTCTTTGGAGCATACTGGGTAAGATGTCACAAGACTCAAATGCTGAATATACAGAGTCTTTTTGACAAACAAATATCCTAATTAGTAATGTATCTTCAATCTGTCATTCAAACAACTCTATCAAAATACAGTTTGACGAAATTTTTGCAACAGACGCAAAACTAACCGCACGCCACCTTTTAAAATCTATTCTAAGTTATTACCTCGTACATTTACCATTACAAACAGTCCCTGTGATGGATGTTTCGCAAAATGAAGAAAAATCTGCGATTGAGGTTTTATATGATACTCTAGGTTGGTAGTTTTCCCTACGCCTTCATTATTTCGAACCGGTTTTCGTAGCACAAATTTTAGCGATAGTTTTAGCTCTGCGAAAATATTAGCATCAACTTGTTCTGCCGTAAGTTTAACTGATTCTATATTTGTGTGTTATTCTCTCACTAAAAATGAAAACTCACAAGTGCTGAGTGCTTTGAATTCAGTATTTTCACCGCAAACACACTTGATTGACTTGCCTGGGTACCGGGACATAAGGGACTTTTTCTGAATGAAATGGCGGATGTGTTCGCTAGGTCATTATAAAATGGCCTGATTATTCACCTATTACGGGCTTGTGTATTCATTATAGGGGCTAGATTTTGTGAATTCATTATAGGGGCTGAATTGTGCCTGAAAAATGTTTTTACAGTCCATAACAACTACATTGGAAATTCAGCCGAAATTCATCGTTGGAGTAGTAAAAAGTGTTAGTATTCATCGCACATCGATGAATCCTAACTCTGCGCGGTGCTTTTGCAATCACAGTACTCGCTCTATAAAATCATTCTGCAGAGTCACTTCCGTGGAGAGAAAATCAATTACTTTTGAGAAAAAGCCCACTTGTTGGAGCCTATCACGTGGTCGAATGCTCGGTACACGACGTGTATTGGGTATTTTTGTGTGGTGCGATCGTAAGTTTTCTTCGCTGTTTAAGCAGTGTTTAAGCATTGTTTAGGTACTTCACTCTTAGCACTGTTTTCTTCAAAAATAGTTGGACATAAAAATAATTTGAATATTTGAGACTGGCATAGTCGGGTTTGACTGTATTATGCTTTACATGCACACACGTACGCACGCACAAACACACTGAGTTGTTGTGAAACGCTCTCCATATGCATATATTGTATTGTTAGCACTGCGTGGTAACCAATAGTAACGTCAATATCACTCCCATTCTCATGACTCATATCAAATAGTGGTTCAATTTCCTACTTTCACGGCCATGCAGCTGCGGGCTACAACTGTGTCTACCGAAAACCCCGCCTGTGGCCACGATGGATACGGACGAGAGTGTTCCCGGTATGCTTTCAGAAACATTTATTTGTTTTTTGTATTTGGGTACCAAAATCGTTTTATGTTTAGGAGGGATGCTGTAAGGAAGGGGTGTGCTCGAGAATAATTTTGGCAGTGCTACTTAGGCTTCTTTAACGTACACATAAACCCAAATGCGTTCGTATCTTTATACTTCACGCCCACAAAGTCACTACTCTCATGAAAGGTAATCGACCTCATGCATGTCTTCGAGTTAAGCGGTGCGACAACCAGTGCCGCTCCCATCCACGTCACTGCTCCCATATATATGTATATATTTGCAAAAGGCGTAACATTCCAATGTCTTGCGTGTATACTAATAAATAGCAAGACGTCATTTATGTAATGATTGTAAGATAGTTCAGGCTCGTGTTTCTGTTTTTCAGCCGCCCTCCCCCGTCCCGTAATGAGTACGTGCTTGTTCGTAAACGCCGCTCAATAACAGATCACTTTTGTTTCTTCGTTTTGTAGTAGACTTCAACGTTCAGTCGAACAAATTGAACGCCGCAATGTGCCGTGAAGGTGTCGAACACGTCGAGCTCCCCTATCGGGCTTTTCTCCCAACATGCAGCGAAGTTTAGCGACACGAGCACGTAGTCTTCCTCCTTTCACGTGACCACCAAGATAGTAGCGATGAGACGCTATAGCGTATCAACGATCAGGTGTAGGTAATAACACGTTGTCCGCCTCTTGACCATGGCCGTATTCCCATGCAGGAAAGCACAATGCACAGGAGTACGTAAATAAGCCTCGAAGACATCGTTGATTGATTGATATGTGGGATTTAACGTCCCAAACCCACCATAAGATTATGAGAGACGCTGTAGGGGAGGGCTCCGAAAATATTGACCACTTGGGGTTCTTTAAGGTGCACCCAAATCTGAGCACACAAGCCTACAACATTTTCGCCACCATCGGAAATGCAGCCACCGAAGCCGGGATTCGATTCAGCGACCTGCGGGTCTGCAGCCGAGTACTTTAGTCACTAGACAACCGCGGCGGGGCTACGAAGACATCACGCTGATATTCCTAATAATGTAGGTGGGATGCTCACCGCTACCTAACTTTTTAAGAATAATTGTTGAGATTTACGTCCCAAAACGACCAAATTATTATGAGAGATGCCGTAGTGGAGGGCTCCGGAAATCTCGACCTCCTGGGGTTCTTTAACGTGCACCCAAATATGAGCACATGGGCCTCGCGCATTTTGCCTCCATCAAGAATGCGTCCGCCACGACCGAACTGTAATCACGTGACCTGCGGGTCAGCAGCCGAGTGCCTTAGCCACTAGACCACCGTGGCGGGTCAGCGAACTTGTCAATCATTTTTTGTTGAAATAACAACACCGCTTGAGTATGTGAATACACGACGCAATTTACAGTGCGGAGAAATGGCTCTGCGAATAATTTATTTTATCGCAAAGGGTGATGAAGTATCTTATCGATGATATTTGCATCAATAAAATACTTTATCACCCTTTGCAGGCAGATCGAATTGCTGAAGTGCTGCAGGCACAAAATGGTACCTAATGAAGATTAGTTTTACGTCTTGATTAACTGAAGTTAAAACTGAGCTACATATATGACTTTATATCCTCCCCCTTCTTTACGCGAACGAAAAAAAAAGAAGAAAACAAACTCATACCGCACATGTGTCTACCAACAAAATATGTGCAGGAATACCCAAAAACTTTTTTTTTATTTTTATTTTTTTTATTTATTATTACTGTGAGCCTTTCTCAGGCTCATACAGGGTGGGCGAGCAAATATACACAGTCGCGTACAAACCAGGCAATATCGCACATAGCGGAAGAAACAGAATCACAAGATGATGGTGAAAATAAAACTTGAACGATGAAAGCAATTGTACAAAATAATGGACAGGTCACAAAACATCGAGGTATCAGCAGGGGGTACTGTGATCAGTGTGTTCGGAAGCGCTCACAAACATAAAGAAACAAAAGTTGCTTTTAGTCTTCATAAAACAGGCTTTCTACATTCCGAACAAATGAATCTGCAGAGGAAAGATTAACGCATTCACGCGGCAATTCGTTCCACTCTTCCACTGCTGATGGGAAGAATGAATATTTAAAAGTATCACAGCGTGACATGAATGGTCTAATGCACTTATTGTGGTTGGTACGAAGGGAGTGATGGTTAGGCGGCTTTATATAGTTGTCTTTATGTTTAAACCGTTGTGATAAAAAAGAAAAATAAACTTTAAGGAAGAGACACGGCGACGGGCTGCAAGGGTCGGCAAGCATGCCCGCTTGCGCAGCTCAGCGACACTGTCATGCCTCGAATACTTAGAATAGATAAAGCGAAGGGCCTTGCGTTGGACGACTTCTAATTTGTCGGAAAGATATTTTTTTTGGGGGGGGGGGGGTTCCATACAATGCTGGCGTACTCGAGGATCGGCCTTATGAGAGATTTATATGCTGTCATCTTTATATTAGAAGGCACCAATGCAAGTTTTCGACGCAGGAACCCTAGCTGGCGATAGGCTTTTGTGTACGTGCTGCTTATATGTGCATCCCACTTCAGTTTACTTGTAAAGGTAACGCCCAAGTATTTAACAGCGTCGTTTCTTGCAATGTTTGTGCCGACCAAATTGTAACTAAAATGCTGGATTGTTTTCCTGCGAGTTATGCTAAGGCAAGCTGTTTTTGACACGTTAATTTCCATTCCCCACTCAAGGCACCAACATGCAATATTAGCTAGTGTGGTATTAAGTCTAAGCTGGTCATCAGTTGTGCGGATAGTGGTGTAGATCACGCAGTCGTCAGCGAATAATCTCATTTTAACGTTAGGCTCAAGGCACATATAGATATCATTAACATATATTAGGAACAAGATGGGTCCTAAAACGGAACCTTGTGGTACTCCGGAAAAAACTTCCAATGAATCAGAGGCTGTGTTGTTTACGGTTACATAATGGCTTCGATTTAATAGATACATTTTTATCCATGCTATTATGTTACTGTTAATACCAATAGACACAAGTTTGTCAATCAATTTACTGTGAGGCACCTTATCAAAAGCTTTGGCGAAGTCTATAAATATGGAGTCGGTTTGCAATTGTGAGTTAATTGTAGTTACGAAGTCATGCGTTATTTCCAAGAGTTGAGTAATGGTAGACAGGTTTTTACGGAATCCGTGTTGGTTTGGGTGCAATAAGTTGTTGTCTTCTAAATAAGTAATTATTGCCTTGTTGATTACATGTTCCAATAATTTACAGCAGCAGCTAGTTAGCGAGATAGGGCTGAATGTTTCTATGGACAGCTTGCTCCCACCTTTATGAATTGGAATTACCTTTGCACACAACCAGTCTGCAGGTAAAGAAGCTGTTAGCAGGGATGCTTTAAAAATTGCTTCAAGGAAGGGACAGAGTTGCTCTGCGTAGCGTCGAAGGAATACATTTGAAATATTGTCAGGACCCACTGATTTCTTAACATCCATCTGGAACAGCAGGTTCAGAATACCTTCCGTAGTGACAACGACATCGGGCATTAAAAAAGGATGCACCGGAGCAACAGGGCTGCTTGGTGCGCATGCACGTGTAAATACCGACTGAAAATACCTATTGAAAGCATTGGAAACGGCCTGCGCGTCCTTTACGATAGTACCCTCAATTTCTGCTTCAGTTGTTGGGTTTTCAGGCCGTGCCAAGAAACGCCGAAATTTTCGCGGCTGATCCGTCATGGAGTAAGATAACGTATGGGAAAAAAAAGTTTGTCTTGCATTTCTAATTTCCGCCTTAAGCTGAGATGCAAGTTCCTTTAAGATGATTGGATTCCTCTTTTTCTTGCGCATTCTCTGTACCCTTCTTTCAAGGTGAATAATACGGCGATTGATCCATGGTGTTTTTCTTTGTGTGCGTTTTAGTTTCGTTGGTATAAAATTTTGTTCACAGTACGTAATTATTTTTTTCAGTTGAATCCAGATACCATTACATTAACACCCTCACATTGCTCTAGAGAAAAAGTCTCTAGTGCTGTGTCGAGGTAATCAATAACACAAACATCATTAGCTCTGGTGTAGTCTTTCACGGCTGTCCGTGAATTTGTGCCATTGGGTTTGGTATTTAAGCATTCAAGGTTAAAAGTTATGATTAACAATTTGTGGTCAGATATTCCATCTTCTACAGTGGCTTTACCGGATAGCTTATCGGAAAGAAAAGCTAGGTCTAGTATGGAACGAGTGTTTCCTTGAATTCGGGTTGGTTCCTGGACCAACTGGGACAATGAAAAATTGAACATTAAATTGTATAATAGCTCGCTGTTGGCGGTATTTCTAGCACCTGTTAAGTTTTCCCAGTCAATAGCGAGCTTGAAATCTCCAGTAAGTATTAATTTGGTACGGGGGGTAACCTTATCAACCAGATAGTCATGTATTTGTAAAAGGTAATCATCAGACGCATTTGGCTTTCTGTAGATGCCACCGATCAGTACTGGAGCATCGTGAGCAAATATTGTGCACGAAACGCTTTCGTGATTCGCGATACCCTTTTCTCTACGATATTGCAAACCACGTTTTATTGCAATGGCGACCCCGCCCCCGCGACCGTCACGATCTGAACGAAGTAAGCAGTATGAAGAAGGAACAATTTCAAAATCAAGAATGTCTGGGTGCAGCCACGTTTCAGTTATCACGACAATATCAGGAGTGTAGGAAAAACAATTCTTCTAGCTTGTCAGTTTTGTTAGCAATGCTACGGGCATTCAAACATACCAATGAAAACGGTGGGGCGGCTTGCGGGTGTCACGCGTTGCTTTTCGCGCGACCATCGTGACGTGCCCTTCTCAGGGAAACTCTTGCATTTTTTGCTTCATCCCATACGTACAATTCGTCATCTATCTTTAGTTTATCGAATACAAGAGTGACCTTAGCACCATTGCCCCGATCTTCCTTTTCTGATTGCCATAGCTTTTTGCGCAGGTCCCGAACTCGTGCGGGAAAAGTCTTCGGATATCGATATCGCTGTTCCCTTCAGTTTGCCGCAATTACGAAGGACTAACATTTTTTCAGAGAAATTGTACAGCATAAGAATTACTGGCTGCTCTCGATTTTGTGTTTTCCTGCCAATTCGGTGCATGCGTTCTACAGATGTAACATTCACCTTGAGGATGTCTTGAAAGATGCCCTTAACAATCCGCTGTAGTAAATCTGCATTTTGTTCGTTATCACCCTCTTCCATGCCATAGATTATTATGTTATTCTGGCGGCTCCTGTTTTCCAAGTCTTCTACCTTAACCGATAGCTCTCGCACCAGTTTATTTGTTTCTACAGTCATCACCTCATGCTCGGCGAGTTTATCCTCAAATTGCTGTAGGCGAGCTAACTCTTTTTCTATGGCGGTTAATCTTTCCTGTACGTTGCCTACTGTAGTGTCTACGTGTTTTAAGTTTTCGGAAAGAGCAGTGAGCGCTTTATTGGTCTTTGTTTGTTCCTTTAGAATTTTCTTGAGGAGCTGGCTATTTAAGGTGGCTTCTGAACCAGACTCTGAGTCTGAGTGGGGTCCAGGGTTTAACTCCACATCACCTGATGTTAACAGCAGTAGCCTAATAACAAGCAAACAATCACACAATGAAGAAAGCAGACTTTGTGGGCCCGGCAGCACTACTAAAGTGAGCGAATCGTCTCTAATAGAGCAGACAGAATGTTTGTCACCCACCTGGACGAAAAAGTAGAAATTCATGAGCAACCGCCAGAACACGGTACTGCCAAGCCCACTGAAAGACTGCTGAAGATGGCTCCGGGTTTTATGCTGAAGCTCAAGCGTGTCCGCTGACGTCACTCGGTTGACCACATGGTAGGGGAGGGGCACTTGAGGCGCTGCTTTCCATGATGGTTCTTCGTTGACGGGGCTGTCCGGCGCAGGCGCGACGATGTTTCCCTGCGGTGGGAAGAGTTCCGCCGGACCAACGACGGAATCCACCCGCAGCAGGGCGATCTGGACGAAAAAGTAGAAATTCATGAGCAACCGCCCAAACACGGTGCTTCCAAGCCCACTTTTTCAGTGTTCCAGTACTTTTTTTCGCACAACGGCCCGTTACTCTGTTAATTTTAAGCCCTTTTTGGCGCGACGCACAGTACCATGGGTTCTGAAACTGGGTTCCGTGGGAACAGGCACTCTATGAAATTCACCTACGGGTTTTGCTTGCTGCCAGAACAAATGGAACCTGCTCCAGTCTTACCCTCATTAGCAATTATTTGCTGACTTCGACGAAAAGTCACAGCTTTGCCGCAAAAGCGAAGCAATGAACGCAATAGCAACAAATTGGAAAGTCCTGCACAGAATAGCAAGCCGATTGAAATGTTCCCCATGTTTCTCATGCACAAATGACAAGCGAAACTTATTCACAGGTAAAGATGAACGTGAATAAGTGTCTCAGTTGTTACTTCTCTGTGTCTGAAAAGTGCGCCATTTTCACAAACGGAAGCTGTGGAACGATTGCAGTGGCCTTTGTGCGCCCCGTAACTACAACAGAACCGATCAAGTGCAAGCCGAACACCAGCCAAATGTATGATCCTCCCAACTGAGAGATAAGGGCACGCGAAACATCGTCTACTACCCCCCCCCCCCCCCCCACTCTACGGGCCAGCCAAAGTACGCGCGAGAGATGAGAGCCGCCGTTAAGGTTCCTCGAGGCACGCGCCCCTTGGGAGGGTGGAGCCTCTCTTTGAAGGGTTGAGGGCCGTTCTACGCGCTTTCCGAGCAGCCGCAGCGCACGTGCCGGGACCCCAACCGCACGACCATTTAAGCTTAGCCTTAAGACTGGCGTAGAAGTCGGTGGCGACTTGGCAATGTGAGTGGCGTGCTTCATTTTTCGTTTTGCAAAAGTAAATGAGGCTTCCGCAAAGCGAGCACCTTGTCTGCGCTCGAATACAGTGCTTATGATTAACCGCGGGTGCTTTGCGACTCGCGCAACAAGGGCGTCAGGTGAGTGAGCTGTGTATGACCACAAGCTCCACGTTGACATGATTGCCTGGGATGTTAGAGATAAGAGGCCAATGTGGCGGTGGTAATGCTAAGGGTGTAATCACCGACACCTACTCTGTCGCCGCCCCACCGCGGTGGTCTAGTGGCTAAGGTACTCGGCTGCTTACACGCAGGTCACGGGATCAAATCCCGGCTGCGGCGGCGTCATTTTCAATGGAGGTAGAAATTCTGTAGGCCTGTGTGCTCAGATTTGGGTGCACGTTAAAGAACCCCTGATCGTCACAATTCTCCGAGCCCTCCACTACGGCATCTCTCATAATCTTATTTTGGTTTTGGGACGTTAAAACCCACATATCAATAAATCAAATCAATCAACTCTGCCCCCTTCCCCCCCTCTATATGGTTCTTTCTACTGCCTTCGTGAAAAAAATGTCAGGGGTTTCACGGCACTCTCAAAAAGCTGTCGGGAATGCCCAAGAACAGATCGATTGAGAACCAGGACACTATACAAAAGGTTATCGATTCAGTACACTCAATAATGCGATTCTGCAACCATATTCACTTCGTCTTTTTTTTTCGCACTGAAAGAACAACAGACTGGCCCAGAGCTACCAAAACAGGGGAATGACAGCGGTGCTATCGAGAGCACCGAATACCCAGAGGGTGAGTCGAATACTGCTGATGCATCCCTTGAACAAGAAGATGAGCGCTGTGTCGCCTTCAAATGCGTGGAAATAATGTCTGTCGAAACCGCAGGTGACAACGACGGTCGACACAATACACCAACTGACTCCCAGGATGTGGCGCCTTGCGGTAAGTCGTGACTGCAGTCGTCGACCTTTTTTTGGGGAACTGTTCATGACTGGTGCTTGCAGCTCGGAAAGGGATGAGAAGACGAAACATGTCTGGTGAAACAAAACGTGCATTTTGAGGTCAGCATTTAAGATCAATCTCTATGTTTTTACAAGACTCTAGATTTAATTAGAAAAACCACCAACCAAAAGATGTTATGGTAAGAAAAGCATTTACTTCTACTGCTTCGGAGTGGATGCAGTTTCCGCGGCTGGTCCCTACCAACCTAAGGAGAAGCGAGCTACATACACAGGGTGTTTCGGCTAAAAAGCGCCAAGCGATAAAAAACTAGAAGTGAGTTCCACGCGTCTTCAGTTAGCGCAGTATTGTTTCTAGCTGTATGTAGCACGTCATAATATTTTTTGATCCGCCAAGTAAATACTGACTCCAGAGAAAAAATTTCAAGACAAGAGAATAAATACAAGTTTCAAGTTACGTTAGATAACAACGCTGGTATACTTATTTAGGGTTTGTTTAAAGCGCATGAAATTCAGAAAACAGCTCGCGATTGCCGCCTTGCGATTGCGCTTTGGGTGCCCTGAAATGTAAGTTGAATAAATTAGGAAAAACCTTCCCCATATATATATATATATATATATATATATATATATATATATATATATATATATATATATATATATATATATATATATATATATATATATATATATATATATATATATATATATATATATATATATCAGGGGATGAGTGTAACTCATCCCCTGATGAAGGGAGGACCCCTCCCGAAACTGTCGGGAAATAAATATATTTATCCTTGTTGACAAGGCTCCCGTTGTGCCATATCCCATACCTTCACGAAGACTAACTGGCCCATTGAATTATTACTCCCACTGACTATATATATATATATATATATATATATATATATATATATATATATATATATATATATATATATATATATATATATATATATATATATATATATATGAGATCTAACAGACGCTAATGCCAAGGAATGTACAGGGGAAGTTATTAGAACCAATGAAATGTAAACAAGAAGAACGAAAAGTGGATGAAAAAATAACCAGCCGTGAGCAGGCTGGTTATTTTTTCATCCACTTTTCTTTCTTATTATTTACATTCGATTGGTTCTAATAACTTCCCCTGTACATTCCTTGGCATTACTGTCTGTTAGATCTCATTAATATTGTGTCAAAACACGGAAAAACGAGCCCTTAGGTATACACTTTTTTCCCTTATTTGATATATATATATATATATATATATATATATATATATATATATATATATATATATATATATATATATTGGAAAGGTTTTCTTTCTTAAAGCCAGCTTCATATTTTCGCGGAATGCTCAGCAAAGTGAACTAGGCTCAATAAATAAGTAATAGTTAAGCGACTGAGCAGGAGACAAACGGAAATAAAGGTTAAAGAAGGGCTTCTCGCCAACCTAAGATTTGTAGATCACATAGTGCTATATAGCAATCATAAAGGTGGATTGTAGAAAATATTATTTAGCTTGAACAAAAACATATGAAAAGGTAGGGCTAAATGCATCAAAAATAAGGGTAAATAATTGTTAATGGCCCAGCAATTAAAGTATGAGTGATTGGCAAACGGCTTTTGAAATCTGTAAAATGGTGCGTATACCTAACTCAACTACAGGGAGCTGGCTCATGAAAAGAAAAACAACCAATGGAAAAATGGGTGGGAGTGCATATGGTAGGTGTTACTATATCCGGACATGCAAACTACTGCTCGTTTGAAAACGAAAAGTGTACAATCATAGCAACTTTCACAATCAAGAAAGCGGGCAAAAAATTGGCAGATCCCGCGTAGAGTTAGATAAGATGACATGCGAAGCACGAATGAGGAAGGTTGAATTGTCAAAAAGAAACAGCAAAAATTCACGAGTCGCTTGTAAATTACGCCATACTTTACTTCCATGTTGTGAATCATCATTATCCTGAAATTTGTGTTCATCGTCCATTCACGTCGTGTATTGCCAAATTTTTAATATTAGAATCTAACGAAATGACCGCGAGCGCGCCGTGAGCGTATCATGTAGGGATGTTTTGCATGACACCCATGTCATAATTATTATGTTTGGATGTGTCATTTATCTTCGACGCCTATTCACGTCTCGTAATACCAAATTTGGTATACATAAAACTACCGAAACGGCTGCGAGCGCATCATGAGCGATGTATGTAGTCATGTTCTTACAAGACACAAATGTCATGATTATCATGTTTGCACCAGTCATATATTTTCCTCATCTACTCACGTCACGTAACACCGAATTCGGTTATAAGCAAGCGAAATGGCCATAAGCACACCATGATCGTGGCGTGTAGTTATGTTTTACATAACACGCATCTTATGATTATGATGTTTGGACATGTAAAAAACCTTTGTCATCAATTCACGTCAACTTCCAAAATGAAAAAAAAGGTATATATGAAGCTAGCGAAACGACCGCAAGTGCATCATGAGCCTGCATGTGCTCATGTTCCTACATGACACGTATGTAATGACTATCATGTTTCCACCAGTGATATACCTTTGTCAAACGGCCACGAGTGACTAATGAGCGTGGCATGTAGTAATGTTCTCCCATGACATGCATGTCATATGTTCCAGTGAGGACATGTCACTTATGTTCGCCATGCAGCCATGTCATACCATACCAGTTTTGCAATAAGTCATTAGAACGAAACCACCACAGGAGCAGCAAGACTATGGCAAGTGAATCATGATATCTATAAAACACATGTCCTGATTTTCATGTTATGACAAGTTAACAATGCTCGTTATGCAGTCATGGTGTGCCATACCAAGTAAGTTTGGTATAGATCCCATCATCTAAACAGCCAGGAGAGCTGAAAGTCGTAGACTATCATATATATATATATATATATATATATATATATATATATATATATATATATATATATATATATATATATATATATATATAATATATATATATATATATATATATATATATATATATATATATATATATATATATATATATATATATATATATATATATATATATATATATATATATATAGACATCGTCACGATGTTGTGGCGCGCGCTCTCATCTCCCACGCATACTTTACCCCGTGGAGAGGGGCAGGGTGGACGCTCACGCGTGCGATTGCTTATCTTGCGGCGGGGAACAATCTCGTATGCTTTCGCTTGACTTGGGCTTTCATAGGAAAGATTGTGTTGTAGTTGCCGGGCGAACAAACGTCACTGCAAGTGTCGCACAGTCTCTGTTTGCGAAAAGGGCGCGCTTTTCAGACACAGCAACGTAACAACTTTGACGCTCATTCGCATTCATGTGTACGTTTGAGTATGTTTCGTGCGTCATTTGTCTGTAAGAAACGTGGGGTACGTTCCAATCTGCTTGAGTTTTGGCGCGTGACCTTTAAATTTGTTGCTATCACGTTTATTCCTTCGTCTTTTCGGCAAAACTGATACTTTTTCAGTTGGAAGAATTCCTCTTGAACCAAAGGTACTTTAAGAATCTTTACATAAAATAGGTTGTAACTTAGGAAAAAAATGAATGCACCATCCACAAAGCCGTGGCACGCCTGCACGCCTCAGGGGAAATACTATCGCGCGTGACGGTTTGCCCTTGAAATGTAAGGGCTTTTTCTAAGCTAGTACAAATAATAACACTCTGATACAATGCATATGAAAATTTAAGGTTCGTCGTTATCACTAGCTAAAAATTTTCTAAGGGATGATGTCAGACTCCCTGGTAAAACTATCCAGGATGCTTTAGCTTCTGACGTAGAACCAGCAATGCAGAGGCGCCTCACTATTGAAAAGTCAGCTTTCTGAAACCTTTCGGAAGTATTTCACGTCTCATGAATGCGTATACACCATTGGATGGACGACTTACGGAAAATCTATTTTAGATGAACAAAGTTGGCGGTGGGTAGAGCTGACATCTCAGTTTGTGAACGAATATCTATCTATCTATCTATCTATCTATCTATCTATCTATCTATCTATCTATCTATCTATCTATCTATCTATCTATCTATCTATCTATCTATCTATCTATCTATCTATCTATCTATCTATCTATCTATCTATCTATCTATCTATCTATCTATCTATCTATCTATCTATCTATCTATCTATCTATCTATCTATCTATCTATCTATCTATCTATCTATCTATCTATCTATCTATCTATCTATCTATCTATCTATCTATCTATCTATCTATCTATCTATCTATCTATCTATCTATCTATCTATCTATCTATCTATCTATCTATCTATCTATCTATCTATCTATCTATCTATCTATCTATCTATCTATCTATCTATCTATCTATCTATCTATCTATCTATCTATCTATCTATCTATCTATCTATCTATCTATCTATCTATCTATCTATCTGTCTGTCTGTCTGTCTGTCTGTCTGTCTGTCTGTCTGTCTGTCTGTCTGTCTGTCTGTCTGTCTGTCTTGCCGCTACACTCATAACGTGCTCGCGGCCGTTTGGGTTGTCCCACATATAGATAGTATGGTATTACGTGACGTCATAGACGATGAAGGTATATGACACGTTCGAACAGGATAATCGTGACATGAAAGTCATGCACGGCAAAATTAACGTCTGCCTCGTAACGTTGTGCTGATGTCAAAGCGACATATGAACCTTCCTCATTCGGGCTTCGCATATCAACGATTGCCACAGTACGCGAGATCTGCCTATTGTTTCTTTTTAGCAACATAGAAAAGAAGCGTTATTATGTGTGCAGTTTAATTATTCAGTAATGAATGCGGTATATCCCCTAATTAACGAAATCCTCACGCAATGATTTTTTGTTGCGTTCCCGTGATAATTTAGCACTTGAGAAAATGGGAAAAAATAACGTAAACCTACTATTTGCAGAACCTAAAACTATTCGAAAGATCTCTGACCTTGCTTGGTTT